CTTTAAGTCATGGATTTCTTCTAAGACATTCTAAACTCACCCCTTCTTCTTTGTAAGATTTCTTGTCACCATGTGTCTCACCTTACCATTCCAGAAAACTGTTCATTGGTGGCCTGAGCTGGGATACAAGCAAAAAGGACCCAAAAGGCTATTTTACCAAATTTGGAGAGGTGGTTGACTGTACTGTAAAAATGGATACCAAGAGTGGAAGATCAATAGGGTTGGGGTTTATCCTCCTTAAAAGTGCAGCCAATGTGGAAAAGGTAAGCTATGTCCTCCATCAAGGGCCGTTGTCGAGAGGATTGATTTCTGAAAAAACAGCATGATCATGACTAACTTGCCTAGGCTGCATGTGGCCAAGTGTACAGGGGAGAAACAGAATTTAGGGACTTGCAAAGATTTAAGTGAGGAGTGGGTTGGAATGGTCCAGGTAGAGGACAGTACACATTACCTTTTTTTTGTGCCTGTTTTGGGCACTGCACTAAGCACTTCACATGTGAGGACTAGAAAAGCATCCAAGAATGCAATGAGATAGGTATCATGTAAGTGCCATTTCACAGAGGAAGGAACTAAGGCTCAGAGAAGATTCAGTAACCAGAGGAGGTCACACAGTGGCGAGGCGGGGGAGACAGTGAGGATTACAACCCCAACAGCCCAGCTCCGGCCCATGTTCTTAATCCCTGCTGGAGATTGGGACTGCCAGGACAGGGAGTGAGGACTGATTTATGTGTGTGTAGGTAAATCAGCCCAATTTCAGGTTTAGAGAAAATTGAAAAGTCAGGCTCAGATAGAGTGTGGTGTGTTTGGAAGGGATGAGCAACTTTGCGTACCTGTGGTAGAGTCTTCTGGCTCAAAGAGAAGGGACTAGCCTTGCATAATGCTGCTAAGAAATGCCAGTGAGAATTAGAACCAGAGCCTGCCTGACCCCCCTCTCAGAAGGAATTGTCCCCATTCTAGCACTAAAAGTCCTATTCCTGGGAAATCCCTTTGTTCTGATTTTAGCAATGGAAGTGCTGCTTCCCAGGAAATCCCTCACTTCTGGTTTTAGCACTGAAAGTCTCCAAACCCCTTGGTCCTGAGCAAATCTGTTGGTTGGTCAATCTACTCTGTTAGGACAGGTCCTAGACCAGAAGGAGCACAGGTTGGGTGGCTATAGCATGAACCCCCAAAAGGCTATAGCCATGGAAGAGTCTGAAGAAAATCTTTATGAGGGGGATGAACCCCAAGGTCACCGAGGAGGCGGTAAGAGAGTACGTTGCAAGTATGGGGAGGTGTGTGTGTCCAGGGTGTGGTTTATACTCCCCACCAGCCACCTATGGCTGCTTTTTCCCTTCCTTCCTTCCTTGTCTGGCTGGAGTTCTTCTCAGCTGGGCTTCTTTCTCTTGCTTTCTGGTTTTTGGATGCTTTCTGGTGAGTTCCTGTTAGGTCTTGAGTAAGGTGGGGCACCAGCCCTGAGCTTGGCCTGTGCTTCCAGATTAAGGCCATTGAGTTTTCATTGGATCCAGAGTCTAACAAAAGGCAAAGTTCTGTTTTTGTCCCATTTAAAGAACAGAAGCCCATGAGAAATATCCTGAAGGAGTTCTGTACCGTCAATGGTAGCAAGGTAAGGGGTCTCCAGTTCCATGTGCCTATCTTCCTGCCTCTGGAAAGCTAGCCCTTGGGTTAGTGGAAAACCTAGTAGAGTAACCAGTCACCCCAGTTTTAGCATTGAAAGTATCTAGGCAAGCCATTCCCTGGAATGTGAAAAAGGTCCTGTTTTTTGGCAATGAGCATGGAAGATTGGAAGAAAAGTACAAAACCCATACAGTGACCCAACAAAGAGGGGCTGAAAGCAACACTGTGTTTAGTGTCAAATGCATATGACACAGACTATGCACTTTTGACAGTTGCTGTCATCCATTTTTCCCCAGGCCACTGATGTTGGCAACCACAGTTTTGGTTATCTGTTCACTGTGGCATCACTCAGAGCGACGTGACCTAGGTGTGCTATAATTATGAATATTAATAAATCACCTTTGACTTTGCCTCTGGGTTAACTGTTGTGCTTTGTATCAGGGTAGCACCACTTTAATTTTTTAACATTGTGCATATTGTGACCATGTTTTCTAAATGGTGAGGTAATGAAAATGAGAACAATTATAATACCAAAGCAAGCATGATCCCATCACTGAAAAGGAAGTCTAAATGACTGTTATTTTAATGACAGATGGAAAGACACCTACAACTGGATTAGGGAGGCAAATAACCCAAACAGAGCATACTGCACAATATGCAGAAAAAAATTTGGAACTGGGTACAGTGGAAAAGAGGGTGTAGAAACACATATGGAGACTATCTCCCAAGTCTAGGATGAAATGAGCATGTGCCTCTAAACCAATGAAAAGTGTTTTCATGTCCAGAAAGAGGCCAGTGTTCAGTCAAAAATAGCAGCTGCTGAATTAGCTAGGGTATTCCACACAAACAAACATGCATTATCTAAAGGAAAAGAAGGATGTCCTAACGTCTGCAGACAGTTCAGAAAAGTATTATTGGAAAAGGGGACAGAAAGAATAAAAATATTCTTTTATGTGGGATGAAAATGTGACATTTTTAATTGAATATAGGAAATATCTAATTAGCTGTATTTATACTCCCCTTTTAAAGACTTAAGTATCTTACTTTGATTTATGTATTTTTATTTAAAATATCCATAGCATATTAACACAACAGTATGTGTCTAATTTAGAAATAAATGTGTTATGTATATTGGGATGCTTGTTCAAAATTTCTTTTACTGATGAGCACAGGCCTAAATAATAAGTAGCCATATGGAATCTGGAAGAAGAGTCAAGGACCTGAAGAAGGCTTTTATGTTTGTTTAAAAATCAGTAAATCTCCTGTGACTTTGTTTTTTATGAATCAATCCCAAAGCCAGGGTACCCCTGGAAGAACTGGTGCAAACTGAGTTTCTGAACATTTAAAGTGAGGACCAGGCTCAGGAACTACCGGGCACTCACTGAGCTGTAAACAGCCTGTGAGGTCCTGCCTGAGCCGCCGATCTGTCTCCCTGTCAGCCTCTCAACCTCACTCTCCCTTTCAGCAATTCCACTTATGTACGACCTATGAAAACCTGCATTGCTATAGTTTGAGAATTCTCCAAATTCAGAGGAGCCTGGAAATGGAAATCAGGAGATCTGAAAGTTTGGATAGGAAAAAGAAATTCCTATTCTCATTAACCTCTAATTAAAATTTAGCATTTCTTTTTGTTAGGAAAATAAGCAGCAAACCACAGCAATATCAGTACCTGTGACTGTCATCACTAGGAACCACAGCCTTGCATGTTACAGACACCTCAAACTATTGTTCATGTGCTCCACTACTTGGGAATTATGGTAATCATTAAACCCACTCCTAGATCTTGTGATTTAATAAAGAAGCATATCTGTTATATCACAGATTTAATGTTTAACAATTTGATAACTGAATTTCAATAAAATTGGCTTACTTGGCAACCCTATGTATTTTATCTTGTGCATTTCTCCAGACTGCCAAAGGGGTCGATGGCACGTAGGATGTAGAGTCTCTGCTGTGGATCATGAATAGAAAGCTTCACAGATAGGTAGAGGTCAGTAGACTTTACTGTACCTCTGCCTCATGCTCTAACCTTACCATCATCTGGAGTGGTAGCAGCTGGTGGCATATGAATTGACAGGACAATGGACCGTTCGCCTCCTGTTTCCAATAGTATGGAATTTCCATAACATGCAAAGAGTTGTTCTGTGTTTAGGTGAAAATGCTTTGAGTAGCAATATCATGAGGCTGTTCTTACCTTCAAATACCTCTGTGGCAAGGATGGAAGGGGTCCCAAAGAGCATCTAGTCTGAGCAGCATCTTAAGTCCAGGCTCTGAGGTTCAGAGCAAAGTTATTTACCAGGGTTCACATCAGTTAAAGATGCATTCCAAGAGGGTTTTAGTTTTATTTCCCAAAAGGAAAAGTGTCCTGGGAGTCTGAAGAGGGAAGAGGAGAGGGAGGGAGAGGGAGGGAGATGAAGAGAGAGAAGATGAGAGGAGAAAGGGATGGAAAGGAGCTCGGGGAGAACTCAGAGCCAGACTTCAGGATACTTCCTCCAATCCACATTCCAGTGCCTGCCATCAACTCTCCTGTGAATCTTCAGGAATCTTAATTCCCTAGGACCAATTTAGACTTCTCATAAATTAGGCACATTACTGCTCAGATGCTCTTTGAAGCACATGGATTAGATTCAACAAATTTCCCAGGATTTAATTTATATTACTGGCTTTTTTTTTTTTTTTTAAGAATTCTATTATTCCCAGTCCCACAACACCCCTACAGCTGCTTGGACTCCTAGATGACGGCCTTCTTCGTATATCCGAAGGGCTATTATGTAAGGAAGTGGCCTAAAAGGCAACACTGGAGAGGAGTTGTTTCCAAGGTCAAGTTACGGTTCTTTCTGGGAATGAATTATCCAGGGGTTAGATTTAAAGTGCCTCGCAATTCTGGCACTCTATACATACCTTTCCCTTCAGATACTTAAGCCCTGCTAATCCTGGGCTTGAATTATATAACCTGACCTCCCTGCCACTTCTATATGACCCCATACACAGAGTATGTCAGTGAAGGGGGCTTGAGCTTTGAAACCTGAGAAACGTGGGCTCTAACCTTAGCACCCTACGGAGACTAGCTCCCTCCACTGAAAACGGAAACAGTCTGCTGGAGAGTATGTAAAAGACCTGGATTGTTGCAGACACAATGTCCATGGCATGATGAATGAACTTCAGGGTTTAAAAAAAAAAAAAAATCCTCCTTTTTCTGGGATTCCTGCTACACCCAGACTCCCATCCTGCGAATGTTTCTTAGTTCTGTTCCGTCCGGCAGGAGGCAGCAGACCCAACCCCCAGCTCAGAGCCAAAGCCCAGAGAGGGGCAGACGGAACAAGAGGCCAAATACATCCGCCGTCTTGGAAGCCTCGGCACTAGCGCTTCAGGGGCCTACCTGACCGGCCACCTCCCCTCCACCGGGCGGGCCCGGGCTGGGCAACGCTTGACGGGGACCGAGGTTCGCCGCGCATGCGCAGCACCGGGAAGGCACCGCCCGGGACGGCCGCTGCGGCCGAGTGCGTGGAAGGTGGGGCGCTGGCGAGCTGGACCACTTCCGGACTTTAGGTAGAAGTTTCCGTGCAGCTGGCTCCCAAGAGGAGGGCTCGGGGCTGCAGGTGAGTTGTATACCTTGCAGTCGAGCACTGCCTGCCCTGAATTTTCCTGCAAAGGTGCAGAAATAAGCAGAGAACCAACCATACAGAGGACGTTGGTAGGTGTTTTCAGGAGATGGGAGTCTGTTTTCCCAGGGATTGCTTCTCTCATCCTTCTGGGACTTCCCAAGATTTCTTCCTTTTCACGGTACTGAATCTCCCACCTGTCCTCCCTCCTACCTTCTTGGAGCTACGGAGGCGGGGGGGGGGATAGTGGGGCTCATGGATAATTGCAAAAATGCTGGGCAGGGTTTTAACCTTCCTAGCACCACTCAGACTTCACTCGTAAATGTGTCCTTCGAGCCCCAAGGAATGCAAAGGTAGGTAGGTAATTATTGATACTCAACGTATGAAAATGTTTTTTATATGGTAGCTTACCGAAAACCTTAGTGGGTTCCCCAAATTTTGGAGGGCTAAGGGCAAGGCAGGGCCCAGCCCCCTGGTTTTGTACGCGGTGTGGTAAGTCATTTTACTGCATTGCGCCCAAGATGCTTTCTGGCCTAAGAGCCGAGCCTCTGGTTTGTGATGGAAGCATGTGATGCATCCCACATCGTCCCCCACCCCCACCTCCTTCATGTTAATTCAGCCTCTGGTTTTCACGTGTGCTTCTGGGTTGCTCAAATGGTCCTGCCATGCAAAGGAGCAAGAGAGGTGATTGCTTTTTGTCTGAATTTTCTCTGTGAGTACAGAAACTTCTTGCAAGGATTGGAAATATATTTATTTTACCTCCTTAGAACAACCCTCAGTTCACTTAAGGAGAGATTAAGGGAATGGCTGTTTCCTGGCATTAGGTCAGTTACACAGCATCTTCAGACGGAAGTTACTAGGTTCACTTATCACTCATTTATTCAGCAAGCATTTACTAAGTACCTGCCTATGCATGGCAATGAGCTTGATCCTATGAGAAAGACAAATTTAACCAGAGCTATACCTTCAAGGAGCCTGAATGGCTGAGAGGAGAGATAAGCTCTTCTTATAACTAACTCTGTGTCAGGGTGCCTCAAAAGTGTCAGAAGAAGAAATATAAGGCTTGGAGGAGAAGCGTCAGCCTTTCACACCAGGTGGTTAGCTTAAGAAGAACATAGGGTCCCCAAATTACTCTCTGATTATGAGTGATCTCTCTCATAAGCGTCAGATCTATACAGGTGTTTTCCTGTCTGTGTGTCAGGCATCTCAGACTGAATATGTTTCAAACAGGTGTCATCATTCCTGGTCACCTTTCCCCTTCCCCCACCACACACCTAGTGCTGTTCCAATGCTCCCTGTTTCAGGGAATAGTATCAGGGGCCCCTGCCCCCTCCTCTCCTACTGGTCCAAGCCAGAGACCTAGGTGGGAGTCATCTCTGACTCACCCCTCCCCCTCCCTCCTACATCCAGGCTTATGGATTCCACCTCCTGAACCTCTCCATATCTGTCCACCTCTCTCCGCTCTCATTGCCCTTTCTCCAGGCCAGGCTACCATCATCTCTTGCTTAATTTACTGCAACAGTCTCTCGGCTTATTTTCCTGCCTCACCTCAACACATCTCTCATGTCTGCAGCCATGAAGTGCTTGCAGGAATTAAATCTGACAGCGAGGCTCCCTACGTTCATTCCTCACTGCCCTTGGGACAGAAACCAGACTCGGTCACATGGCTGCTCAGACCCTGTCTTTCTCATCAGCTCCATTTTTTTCCCCACAACCTTCTTGCACTTCTTTCCATTTCAAAAACATATGCTTTCTCATGCCACTAGTATACGGTCCCTCTTCTGCCTACAACACGCCCTTCCTTGCTACCCTCTCACTTGGCTTACTCGTATTCCCCCCAAGGTCCCAGCTGGGGCGCTGCTTCCCCAGGCGTCCTTCCTTAGACACCCAAGGCTCATCAGGTGCCCATGCCTCTCAGTGCTCATTTGCTTGTCTGCCTCCTCTGCTGTGCTGCACTGTAAGTCCTGGAAGGCCAGGGCCATGTCCAGGGCCTTTTCATTGCTTCCTACTGCCTTGCACAAAGAAGATGCTCGATAAAGTGGCTCAATGTAAGTTGTAATATTATGGTTTGATTCATTGAATGCCTGAATCATAAATGCACCCTTTCCCAGTTGTTTTCTCAGTGGCCTTACACACATCAAGCTTAAAAGTGGGTGTAAGGATGAACAAGAAGAATAATCATTATTAGAGCAGCTAATAGTTGTTGAGTACTCGGTATGTGCTAAGCACTGTTGTAAGTGCTTTACAGTTTTAACTCAGTTAATTATCACAATTCTATGAGGTAGGTGTTTTTATTATCCCTGTTTTACAGATGGAGGAACTGAGTTACACGGACATTAAAGAACGTGCCTAATGTTACACAGCTAATAAGTGGTGGCATCAGATTTGAAGCCAAGCATACATTGTGGAATATGATTAACTCTTTCAGAAAGACAGTAAGTAGGACTGAGCATGAGATGCTCATAGGGCTGAAGATGATAAGTCTCCAGATGGAAGACAGGGCAGTGTGCTGACAACTTTAAGCTCTGGAGCCAATCAGAAGTGACTAATTCAGAATTGAAAGCTCTGAAGAACATCCGTTTCACTTGCATATTCACTTTTTTTTTTTTCCCAGCCAGCAAACTCAGTTATAGGAGGTACTATTGCTAGTGGTTAGGAATGAGACTTCTCTGAGTCTGAAATCTTGCTTCTGTGGTGTGACCTCTGAGGTGTTGTTTGCCTTCTCTGTGCCTCAGTCTCATCTGGAAAATGGGGTAGTAATGGTAGTACTTACTTCATACGCATTGTGGTGATAATTAAATGAGTTGATACATGTAGGGACTTAGAGTGAAGCTTAGCACATGATAATTGCTCATAGACATTATCTTCGTTATTATTTGTTTTCCATCATTTAGTTAACATGGTTTTTGAACACAGGTCCTTCCTACACATTTTAATCCCACTGTTCCACTTCTTGGGCACAGATGAGCTCACTGTTTTATTTAATTCTTCCCACGGATGTTGAGGGTTTTTCAGCGTAGCCTTGTTTTCAGTACAGTCATCTCCTGTGCCTCGGATTTCCTCCCCCAAGACCCTTCCTCACAGTAAGTTCTAGCTTACTCTGAAAGCTCAGAACCCTTTTTCCATTCTTTTGGGTCAATTTGTTACCAGTTGTTACAGGAAATAAGAGACTGGTTAACCCAAATGACGAGCAGTGACAAAACTAAAAATGCAGTGAAATTTCATACATCATTGCTTGTCTGTACAAAGATAATTATTTTCCCCAATGAGGAAATATAGATCTAAAAAAGTTAAGTTATAAAGGCACGACAAGGACTCTTAGAGGAGCGGGTGGCGTGGATGGGGCGCCCAGTGACCAGGGCGCCTGTCTCCAGCCTGTAGCCAGCATACTTTCTCCTGCAGCTCAGAGAACCATGGGCAGGACTTCAGCGGAACCTCCCACCCCTGGGTGTATGCTTCAGTTGCTGCTATCAGTCACAATAGAATATCTTTGTCGTTCAATTAACTTGGTGCCAGGGCTTCGTTATATTCTCTAACGATTTAGCATCGAGTAAGGGTGCATGTTTCTGGCACTAGAGAAGAGCTGTCTCATAACAAAGCCAATGACAAAGCAGATGTTTAAAGGAAATCTGTGGTTCAATCAACAAATGTCCAGATTACCCCTGTTCTGCTCTTTGGTGTGAGAAGGATGGAGGGACAAATATCTGTACAGATATGAAAGAATTCTAAGATGGAGTTTCGCAGTCAAGGAATTTAGAAGAAGAGTAGTTTGTTCCAGACCAGTTGGATGGTGCAGGCTCGAGTGGTTAAGGAGGTAGGGAGGTGGTCGAGAGGAGGGCGAGGGAGAGAGGGTGGGTGGGGTTTGCGGTGGAGAGAGAGCGGGCAGTCCAGCATGAAGTGAAAAGCGAAGGTTGTGGTGTTGTCTCCAGTGAGGAGACCGGCTGACCACAGCAGGAATCTTACCCGGGGAAGCAGAAGAGAAGTAAGCAGCTGGCCAAACAACGGGTCTGGAAGACAAGGAAAGGAGAATCAAAGCGGGTGTCCCCTGGGTGTGTTTGAGCGTGGGGAGCATGGTGGCACAGCGGTTGGGTACATAGGTGAAGATCTAGCTGCCCTTTTTTAGTAGAGGAATTGATTTTTATACTTCTGGGTAATGCATGTCACATTGCTATGCATTTGCTCTCCCAAACTCTTTTTAGTTTGTGTAATTTGTCCCTTCCCCCTTGCTTTACACTTTCAGCCTTGCCAATGGACCTTGTGGGTTTTGGTTATGCGGCTCTTGTGATATTCGGAAGTATTTGGGGATATAAGCGGAGAGGTAAGCCCAAACAAGATTCTTCAGCAAAATCACTTGGTGGGGGTTGGCGATTGTGCTACACTAACTGAGGATCTGTAAGTAGGGCAGGAAGCTAAAGGTGTCCTAGATAGAGGTGGCTGAGGACCAGCAGCGGGAGGGATTCATGGAGGGGGTTATGTGGGGCTGGGTATACAGAGCCTTTCAATCTAGGGGTTCTGGGTCTCCCTCCACTACAAAAGTCTAATTTCACCTGTCACTGTCACCTGCATAATTAATTGATTTAACTTCCTCAGGGCTACTCCATTATCAAAGGAGGAAATTTTTTTGTTTACATAGTCATAGTGTCAAAAAACTGAATTATGTTGATGATATGTGCTGCAAAGGAAAACTTGTTGAATACTTAAATATCATATCTGAAGTTATCTCTCCATCTCTGTCCAAAAGAAGGAAAGAAAAAAAACCCTAGTGGATAAATTAAAGGGTTTTCATGAAGAAAAATGAAAGGTCGGGTTTTATATTTTACTTTGTTTTAAGGTAGAAGCATTTGTAGTCATGCGGTCTCATATTTCTCTTATATTTTTATGAAATTTTAAAAATGAAGTATATTTTAAAGAGTGTTATATTTGTGGCATTGGTGGACCTGAATATGAGTGGAAAAGCGAGTTCTGCACAGTTATCTGAGTTCCTTCTTTCCGTGGAGATTGCTAAGAAGTCCAAGGCCAAGAAGAATAGTTCTGCCCAGGGTCTGAGGGGCTGGCAAGTTAGGATAGGTTCTCTGCTGTGATTCCTGAGAGCCTGTCATTCACCTTAGATTTTTGTTGTTCTTATTTTTTCTCTCAATATGTGTAGCATCATGGATATTTATTTGATGGGGAAAAATGATGGCATCAAATTAAGACTATAAACAGCTACATAAAAGTTGATATTTCGTAATCTAGGTTAAAGAGGACTTAATGTAAAATCCTGATAGGATTGTTATAGAAAAATTTTTTCATTGTCAAAGACATGTCTAAATAACCTTGACTGCAGGACAGGAAAGAGCATTTAGACATTTCTGCCTGTCTGTAAGAGTTGTGGAAAGAAGGAAGGGGGTGTGTGTGTGTGTGTGTGTGTGTGTGTGTGTGTACACATATATACATATATATATATGTATGTGGTGATGGAGGAAGGGAGAGGGGGAGGGGATTACTTTACTGTTCCAACCCAAATTTGTTCAGGAACATATGAAATCCCATTAGCTGTGCCCAGCTGCACAGTATGGTTCCTTGGCCTCCTGCAAGAGCCCCCCACTCAGTGATCCTGGAAGCTCCCGAGGGTATTATATGTTCACAAAGAAGCCCACTCTTGTAGTATGTGGGTTAAGAGCATAGGCCACAGAATCATGCCTTCCTAATTTCTGCTGTTGACACCTCCAGTAAGCTTTGATACTCTTATGGGTTGTTTTAATCTCTGCGCCTCAGTTCCTCATTTGTAAATTAATCTGTTAAGATTAAATAAAATATTCTTCTTAACCGTAGTCTTATCTGAGTTCTGTTTGACCCATATCAGGGAGCGCCCAGGCATGCATTTCATGGGTATTCCTCTGGGACTGGTTATGTACCTGGCACTGTTTCAGGCCCTGGGAAAACAGCAGTGAGCAGATAAGACATGACACTCGCCACTGAGGAGGGGAGACTGACATTACGTTTCTGATGACGAACAATGGGAGACTGTAATGAGGGCCCTCATTCAGAATGATGGGTCAGAGGAGGCCTCTCTGAGGAGCTAGCACTTAACATCCAAAGCTGAGCTGCAGTTGAGCAGGTGAGCGCTGCAGGGAAGAGCAGTCCAGGCAAGGAACAGCATGTCTGGAAGCCATAAGGAGTAGAGTTTGGCCTATTCAGGGACCTGGAAGGAGGCCTGAGCTCCAATAGTAGAGCAAACTTCGGTTTTTCCTAAGTGCAGTGGGAAGTACTGAGAGTTTTCAATTAGGGGGGTGGCCTGTCCAGATATATGTTTTTAAAAGATCATATTACTGTGTTTAGGGAATAGATTTGGGGGGAGCAATAAGAAATTTAATATTATTTCCAACTGTAACATTCTAAGCCTTTATATATTTGACATGGATATTATTAACCCTGTTTTGTAAGTGATAAAACTCAGAGAGGCCAAGTGACTTAGCTAAAGACCTTCTGGCAATGAGTAAAAGAATTTGGTCTAGAATCTAGGGCATTTGGCTTCTCATTCAGGATGCTGCTACTGCTGCTGTTGGTGCATCTGTGTGTGCGTTCGTGTATGTGCATGTGCGTGTGGCTGCAGTGGTTCATAACTCTGGTTGCAATATGAGTTCCTATGGATATTTTAAAAACAGAGCTACCTTGACCCTACTCCTAGGGTTTCCAATCCAGCATATTCTAAATAGAGTGAATTCCATGAAGCAAGGACAGTGCCTGTCATGTTTAGTGTCACTGACATGTAGCCCACTGCATGGAAAGCGCTCGGTGTTGGTCACAGTGCCCTGGTGCAGTGGGTGGGTGGGTTAGGGTTAGGGCATTGCTCAGTATAGTCACCATCCCTGAGTCCTGACATCTTGAGACTGGGAAGTTTGTTACCTATCCAGGATAGAACCAGTGCTTGGTTTGCATAGCACTTCTCCCTCTACCTCTATAAGCTAAAAATACCCTGCATCTTATTTTTATCATCACAATCTCATAGTAAAAAGGTGGAGGCAAGGAGAATAGGAGAAAAAAGGGAGGGATACAAGAAGTCAACTCATTGCCCAAGGTCATGCCATCAATGTCAGAACCACTACAATAAGGCAGACTTTCTTATTCCCTGAAATGATACCTAACCCTGCATTGCCATGCATTCAGGGTTTCTCTGCCTTGCATTTAGGGTTCAGCACAAAACAGTCGTTTCTTACAAACTACCAATGAATAGGCCTATATTCAATTTGGCTTTGTCCAACGGCAATGCCCAAGTACAAATACATTTAAATGTGCATGTGTTATACTCAAAGTAATTCTTTTCATTTTGTGATTCTCTTTCTGAGCCCATACTTTTTTCCCCCCAGGTGGTGTTCCATCTTTGATTGCTGGTCTTTCTGTTGGATTTTTGGCTGGCTATGGAGCTTACCGTGTCTCCAATGACAGGCGAGATGTTAAAGTATCTCTGTGTAAGACATATTTCCCAGCTATGGAGAATCGAACCTGCAGGGTAGTTGATATGATGCCTCTAAATTTAATAGTATTACTTAGTCTGTTGTTACTTAGTCTCCAGGCATCAAATTCCCCAAAATGGAATGCTAAAAAATAAAAACTGTCAACCTCCTTCTAAATACTGAGCTAGTATTATTTTATTAATCACACCATACTTTAAAAAAAAATACTATTTTTCTTACATTCAGTTACCTAAACATTTATTGTCTCCTGTGAGTCCAGTTATACTGCTGCGTGTTTCTGAGGAAAGTTGAATAAGACAACAGTCCTAGTTTTTAAGTAGTCTATAAATAGAAATTTAAATTAGAAAGGACTTCCTTTTAAAAGATATTTCAAGAATGGACTTTAACATGCTTGTTTACTCAAACCTTTGTGATAAGCTAGTTTACATGTTTTCATAGAGCACATCATCGTTTGAAGAAAATAGCAACTCAGTACCTATGAATAATAGTTGTTACGTAGAAAGCTGAAATAATACCCCTTTTTTTCACAAGCAAACATGGATAACTTGTTTGAAACTCCAGTTCATACATTGGTTTGTTTTTTAGTTACAGCTTTCTTTCTGGCCACTATAATGGGTGTGAGGTTTAAGAGATCAAAGAAAATAATGCCGGCAGGGCTGATTGCAGGCTTAAGGTAAGAAAAACTTTTGTTTTAAAGATTTTATTTATTCATTTTTAGAGAGAGGGGAAGGGAGGGAGAAAGAGAGGGAGAGAAACACTGATATGCGAGAGATCTGGTGGTTGCTTCTCGCATGCCCCCAACCAGGGGTCTGGCCTGCAACCCAGGCATGGGCCCTGACCCAGAATCGAGCCAGTGACCCTTCAGTTTGCCGGCCAGTGCTCAATCCACTGAGCCCCACCAGCCAGGGCGAGAAAAACTATTTTGATTTATATTTTCTCCTGCCATCATTTTGAAGTGCTGAATTTTTGGTGAAAGTCAGTTTCAATTTGAAATGTCAGAGTAATTTTTATTACGATAAACATGTCTGTGACACCTTAAAATATCTGCATTCATTCAGTCTCTGGTATTGATGTGTACGTGAACATTTTCATTGGATACTCTTAGTGTTGTTGCTCTACTGTTTGATCACATGTACATTTTATCTTTTTCAGAATAAAGAACTAAGTTAAGCCTCATTGTTCCTCAACAGTTACCCTACTGAGGCAGTGAATGTACTCATTTAAATCTGAAACTCATTCTTTCTTAGAGAGTTGGACAGAGTGATGATCTGATGTTTATTTTGAGGTTTTAAGGGAAAAAAAACAATATTTTTTAAAAATAGATAAACAAGAAGCCTCAAGTTTCTCTTAATTTGATTCTAGTAATTCTATCCATGAGATTAATCATGTTACCAAGAAAAAATATATAGGTTACATTTTAATTCTTCCTGAAAGTTACCATTGTATATTGAAAGCCATAAACATGTTCATTTCCTTTGATAAACATTTTTGAGTTTTGGAATTTATTCTGAAGAAATAATGAGGTGTATCCAATGACTGATGATTATTGCAACTTTATTCCTAATGCAAAACCTGATAAACTAAAAAATTAGAAACTTAAAAAATTCACCAGTAAGGAAATGTTTCAGTAATTGTTTTGTCCTCCTGCTGGAATATTGAGCAGACATCACATGTCATGTTTTCAAAAACTATTTAGTGGCACTGAAAAACCCTAATAACATAAGAAGAAAGTTTTTTAAAAGGAGAAAAAACAACCAAATATAGTGTGGTCTCAACTTTTAAAAGTTTGTACATAAAAAACCAAGTTAGGAAGGGCAATAACTCAAATGGTTCAAGTTTGTCTTCTGGGTAGTAGCATAATTAGTAATTTTCTCCTTCTGCTCTGTAGAATTTTCTAGTGTGGCTATGTTGATAGTTGTGATTTGGGGAGGAAAAATGTGATTACAGAGACTGCTTTCCAGTTTTAAGCCTGTCTAAAAATGATAATTGTGGTGGAAAGAATCAGAAGTAGGGTTTGTGGAGCAGGAAGACAAGATCCCAAAGTTATCAAATGCCCCTTAAATTGCTATCTTCTGAAAAGCATGACTATGTGTTTTAGATTAATTTCCCTATTTTAGGAAAATGACAGTAGTTTCAGTTCTCATGGTATAAGGAAAACAAATAAAACACGTTTATTTTTTTTAAAAAAAAAAGACAAGTCCCCAATCAATGAAAAGCAGTGGAGGTGATAATAATACCCCTCAAAATTGTTCCATGATTATTTTTGCAACTTGCTTTACTTTGCAAGCTTTTAAAAGCTTTATGTTTCTTTTGAAACCTTTCTCTCATAAAGCTTCACCCCAGATCTTAAGAACAGCAAATTATGATTTTTCTTATTCATTGAATGAACATTTTTAAGTGGCTAGTTCAGTCATGTCTGGGAAGTATGAATACAGGGATAATGAGGTCACCGTGCTCCCAGCAGTAGGAGTCAGATGCCTGCGAGCCAGAGATTAGTCACCCCCTGGGGAGGACAGTTGACCCTGTCTGTCTCATGCCTGGTCTTTCTCTTCTTTTCATCCAGCCTCATGATGATTCTGAGACTTGTCTTACTGCTGCTCTGAGAATCCAGAGGAACTGAAAGCTAAATTCATGTCATTCTACACTAAGGGGCAGAACATACTCTTGGAACTCAGAAGATAAATTTCAGTATGGAATGTTAAGTGTCTTATTTAATATCAGAAACAGAAGAAACACTGTTACCTCTAATGTAAACACCAGTCTGAGGTGGTGGTGTTTTCGGGGTTTTTTTTGACAAAAAATTTTTTTCTAATTGTCTGGTACTGTTTTCATTAAAGATATTTAATAAATTGTGATACATTCATTTATTTGCTATGTTTAATCTTGTCTATGTGGTGTTTTTGAACAATCTCAATTACCATCTGAAGTAAGTGAAAATGAAACCACAGCATATCAGGTAAATGGAATGCCCTAATTGGACTTCTCAGAATGCTAATGTATCTATATGTCATTTGTACTCTACTAGAAATTATGTCTTTCCATTATAATTGTATTGCTGCCAATGTTTTTTTTTTAAATCTCATTTCCAAACACTCTGTACTAAAAGAATGTATTCAGTATTCAAATAAAAGATGTTCTGTGTTAAATCTGTCCCTTTTATTTTTCGTCTTAATGTCTTCTCTATATATTCAAATCATTTTTGACATTTAAACGTTCAATTATTAATGAAAGAGGTTGGGAAGGAGGGTTATTTAAGCCAAAACTCCTCCTCAGGAGCAGATATTCGTGTTCTCTCTCTCTCTCTTTCTCTCTCTCATTCTCTCGCACTCTCTGTCACAGCCATAATTCTGAAACAAAAATGATATTGTTCAAATTGCCACTTTATTTTCAGGCATAGTTATGGCTTTTTAAAAGGGTTCTGTCTGTTTGTTTGTTTGTTTATAGAGAGAGGGAAAAGAAGGGAGAAACTGAGAGGAATAGTGATGGGAGAGAGAAACATTGGTTGCCTCTCACATAAGCCACAACTAGGGTTCAGACCTGCAACCCAGGCATGTGTCTTGTCTGGTCCTGCAGGAAAACGCCCAACCCACTGAACCACACCAGTCAGAGGGGCATAGTTACAACTCTTAATATCCAAGGCATGTACTTTAAGGCTCCTGACTGAACATCGGAAGACCTGAGTCCCAGCCCAGTTCTCCCGCTGATGGTGGTGTGCTCATTGAAGGTCACTTCCTCTCTCCAAGACTCAGTTTCTCATCCTGAAGGAGGAATTTGACCTAAATGATTGACAAGGCCCGTTGGAGCTCTAAAATTGTGCACCTTTTGCCCTGTTGACTATGTGCTGTGGTGTCAGATTTCAAAACCTTCTTTATTATTATTTTTTTCTAATTTAATATTTATTATATTTTTTTCATTATCATTTAGTCCCCTTATTTTTTAAAAATATATTTTATTGATTATGCTGTTACCGTTGACCAACTTTTCCCCCTTTGTCCTCCTCTGCCTAGTACCCTCCTTCCCTCCAGCAATTCCACTCCCCTTAGTTCATGCCCATGGGTCGTGCATATAAGGTCTTTGGCTTTTCCACTTCTTATACTATTTTTTAAAATTTATTTTTAGAGAGAGGGGAAGGGAGGGAGAAAGATGGAGAGAAACAGCAATGTGCAAGAGATACATCAATTAGTTGCCTCTCACACCCCCTAACCAGGGACCTAGCCTACAGCCCAAGGCATGTGCCCTGACTTCGAACCGGCAATCTTTTGGATCACAGGCCGGCACTGAATCCACTGAGCCACATGAGCCAGGGTTCCTACACTATTCTTAACAACCCCCTGTCTATTTTGTACCTACCAAATATGATTCTTCATCCCTGCACCTTTTCCCCATTCTCTCCCTTCCACCTCCCAGCTGATAACCCTCCAAATGATCTCCCTATCTATGATTCTGTTGCTGTTCTGATTGTTTCCTTAGTTTGTTTTTTCAGATTCAGCTATTGGTAGTTGTGAATTTGTTGCCATTTTAATGGTCATAGTTGTGATATTTTTCTTAAATATGTCCCTTTAACATTTCCTGTAATAATGGCTTGGTGTTAGTGAACTCCTTTAGCTTTACCATGTCTGGGAAGCACTTTATCTGCCCTTCCATTCTAAATTATAGCTTTGCTGGATAGAGTAATCTAGGTTGTAGGTCCTTGCCTTTCATGACTTTGAATACTTCTTGCCTGCAAGGTTTCTTTTGAGAAATCAGCTGATAGTCTTATGGAAACTCCTTTGTAGGTAAATCTCTGTTTTTCTCTTGCTGCTTTTAAGATTTTCTTTACCTTTAACCTTTGGCATTTTAATTATGATGTGTCTCAGTGTGGTCCTCTTTGGGTCTAACTTGTTTGGGACTCTGTACTTTCTGGATTTGTATGTCTATTTCCTTCACCAAATTAGGGAAGTTTTCTTTCATTATTTCTTCAAATAAATTTTCAATTTTATGCTCTTCCTCTTCTCTGTCTGGCATCCCTATGTTTCGGATGTTGGTATGTTTGGAGATGTCCCAGAGAGTCCTTGCACTATCCTCATCTTTTTAAAATTCTTTTTCCTTCTTGCTGTTCTGGTTGAGTGCTTATTTCTTATGTTCCAAATTGTTGATTTGAATCCCAGCTGCCTCCTCTCCACTGATGATTTTCCGTAGATTTTTCTTTATTTCACTTAGTGGAAACTTCATTTCTTCCTTTATGTTGTTGCCATACTCAATGAGTTCTTTGAGCATCCTGACTACCAGTGTTTTGAACTCTGCATCTGATACGTTGGTTATGTCATTTCATTTAGTTCTTTTTCTGGGATTTTGTGCTGTTCTTTCATTTGGGCCATATTTCTTTGTCTCTTCAATTTGGTAGCCTCCCTATGTTTGTTTCTATGTATTAGGTAGAGCTTCTTCGACTCCCTTTCTTAGTAGCATGGCTTATTGTCAAAAAAGCACCTGTAAATTGTGTAGGGTGGAGCTTTTGGTAGTAGCCAGGGCAGGGCAACCTGCTTCACCACTTTGTGTTTTGTGTAGGGGGAGAGCTTGGAGAGGGAACAGTGCCACTGCCTGGCTTCTGGAGGTTTTCTCTGCACACATCCCATATCTAGTCACTTCACCCACTTCCAGTATGCAACTGGTGCCTTTCCAGCTGTTGCACTGGTGCTGAATCCCAGAGTGTTGAGGTTTGCATATGTTCTAAGTCCGTGTGGGTCCTTTAAACCAGTGTCCTGAAAATCCAGCAGTTTCTTCCCCCACCCTAACCCCTACTGGTTTCTACAGCCAGAAATTATGAGGATTTATTTACCCAGTGCTGGAACCCTGGGCTGTGTAGTTGGGCCTGTGGCTGGGATCGCTCACTCCCAAGGTATCCCTCCCAATTTTTATCCACCATACATGAATATGGGGCTGACCATTCTGCTGCCGCTGCCACCGCCTCTCTGAACCTCTCTGCCCATCTCTGCAACGCTGTCTCTACTACCCGTCTGGATGAGCATGGCTTCTTTAAATCCTTGGCTGTCAGACTTCTATACAGCTTGATATTCTGACGGTTCTGGGTGTTACTTGTTTTGAGATCTAGTTGTAATTCTTTCTATGGTTGCATGAGGCAGAGAAGCGTGTCGACCTACATATCCATCTTGACCAGCAGTAAGTCCCTTTATTTCTTTTTTAATTGAGGTAACATTGGTTAATGACGTGTAAGTTTAAGGTATACAACATTATGATTCGAAATATGTGTACGCTATAGTGTACTCACCATCAAAAGTCTGGTTTCCACCCATCACCATATGTTTGATCCTCTTTATCCATTTCACCTCCCCCCTTCCTCTTCCCTTTCCTTCTGGTAACCAGTAATCTATCGTCTATATTGATGAGTATGTTTTTGTTTTGTTTGTCTTTTGTTTCTTTTTTGTTTCATATTCCACATATGACTGAAATCATACAGTTTTTGTTCTTCTTCATCGGACTTATTTCACTTAGCATAATGCACTCAAACCCTTTCTTTAGAGGACATGGTGGGTAGAGCTCTCAGCTGACAACAGCGGAGTTGAGATGATTGTATTCCGTTACCTTTCCCAACTGACTTTCAAGGAGGTTGTTAAACGTTCAGTGGTAAGTAATTCAATTAAGGGAAAGGAAGAAAAAATAATAACAATGAACCAAATAGGAATCAAGACAAAGTCCTTTGATATACTTTAAAAATATGCTACCTAAAAAACCCCCACTAATCCTAATGGTGTTGAAGAGGTTGTTGCCACAAGCAAGCCTGGAAAAGCAGTTGTCATTGGGCTGCTCCCCACACTTGCTGACTGTCAAAGGTAATTGAGAAGACCCTTCATATTCAAATTGCCAACACCTTATACTCAAACCATGATTATGACACTGAAACTAGTTCGAAGCTATGCCGTGTCCTGAGCTTTTCCACAAGGGCGGTAGAAGTGAGTAATGGTGATGGATCAGCTTCGATGGTGTTCTCAGTGAAGACCCAGGTCAGAGTGTGAGCCTGTGGTCAGTCTGGGGCATGGAGGAAAGCCCTTCTTAAATTTTTGCTCAGTGCATGTCTTTGAGACGTCCCCTGCCATATAGAGCCTTTCTGGTAATTAAACTAAGAATGATAATGCTACTCCATGCTTTTCTCATAATACCTCTGATTTATTGAGCATTTGTTACACAGAAGACACTTTACCAAAGGAGCACCTTCGGAGTGCCGACCACGCCCACAGTGACTCCCGTTCTCCGAGAATGGCTCCGTTTCTGCCGCCGCCCGCACCGGCCCATGGGCTCCTGCCAGCTTCGGCTGCGCCACAGAACCACGCCGTCCAGCCGCGGCTGATTGGACCACGTCCATTGAGTCACCCGGCTCAACTAACACCCGGTTTTCACCCTAGGATTTTAGCATTGAGACTCTGAGGCCACTCTGTGTGTCTGGGACTGAAACAATCTCAGGAACTGTGGGGTCTCCACCCATATTTTGCCACACAGAGTGAGGAACAGAGAAAGGTAATTGGTAAAAAAAAAAAAAAAAAAAAAAAAAAAAGGAGAAAGGAAAACAAATGGATTATAGGATATAATCCTATGGGATATTATGGGATATAATAGGCAATATATAGGCATTATAGGATATAAATGAGAGGTTTCTACGACATGTTATAAGCAAACAATGTTAAATGAAACAATGTCATGTGAGGACCTGCTGTACCAAGAAATGTTATTTCTGTATGCTACTGTATTGAATTGGAAAAAGCATGATGAATCACCTCTTCCTCTGATCAGGAAAGCGTGCTGTTCATCCTGGTATCTGCCAGCACCTGCAGGAGAGAAATGGACGGATCCCACAGCTTCACCAATGGAATTGCTGCGCTGCTTTCTGCACAGTTTCCCTGCCTAAGTAACCACTCCCTCTACTGTGTTTGGCGAAATGGCTGTGCGCGCCATCTGGACTGATTCCTCTCCCCACCTACCTACCGCTCCTGTGTTCTTACACAGTCCCAGCATTCTCCAAGCCCTGAGACTACCTCAACTGTGAAAATTATTTTTCAAA